CACGTGAAGGGTGGGCAGACGCTCCTGGGTATTCATTTACTGACCTTCCTCTGTGGCCCCAAGAGTAGTCCTAGGAAGCCCACTGAGCCCCAGCGGGAGCGACTTCTACCGGCCAATTTGGTGTGGACCGAGATTCTTTTTCAGTTGAAGTGACTAATCGAGATGTAATATAGAAACCAGTCTCCTCGTGTAGATTAAGCTGTCCCCAGGGAGGCAGAGTGAGAGCAGAAGAGCCCCCAGCAGACTATGTCTTGTGAGATGTACAGAGAACTGATGACAGGCCAGCGCACACGTGGCTTCCTCCTTTTATTTCAAAGGACCTTATCTTTGTTAGCACTTGTTAGAGACACATTGGTAGAGCCACATCTGTCACTGTGTTTCAACTTCAACTTCAACCCCACACGCTCTGTAGCTTTTCTAAGAGAGTACATTCCATTCATGCAGTACCCATGAAAGCTTTTTCCAGGTTTGTCATTAAAAAAAAAATTGTTTTCACCATTTAAGACAGTTATTTTTAATAGGAACTTCTTGTTGCACAATTCGAGAGCCAGCTCATTTCATAATAAATGATTGTTGTTGGGTTTGTTTTTAATGTTGCATCTCAGATGTGTTCTTGTAGGAAGATCTTTTGAAATTCAGGGGCTGGATCATAGCACTTGGACTGCCAGACCAGGATACGCCCACCCGTGCCCAGTGATGCCCGTGCCCCTCAGCACCCCGGACTGTGTGGCAGCCACATCAAGACATGGCTGTTCTACTCCTTCCTCCTCTATGTTGTTTTATTTACAGGTAAAGCCAGGAGACACCACAGGTTCTTGCTCTAGGTGAGCAGCATGATACCATCAACACTTAAGACCATGATGAAATTTCAACTTCATTTAAATGCTACCTAAAATTTATGGTGTCAGAGTGAAAGGGTGTCAGTGAGTTAATTCAGTATTCATATCCTGGAAGTATACATTTTTGTTTTTCCAGAGTTTTATATGCAGGTTTTTGTTGTTGAACCTATATCCAGATTTCTTTTCACTGTTCTTTCTAACAATCTAAAGTTTTCATAGACTCATTTGGATCCTGTACAGAATATAACTTATTGGAGATAAACACTTCAACTTTTGGCAGAAAAACACTCTTTGGATTCTCCCCAAGGTCATTTGTATTCAGACTAGAACAATGGTCCGCCCCATCAAACTACATGAGACAAGCTTCCTGTATGAAGCCAGAAGCACAAGTGCCTTCAGAGGGCAGTTTATTCCAGTCCAGTTGCCTCCCCAGCTTGTGTGTGGCCTGTCCCCACAACAGCAGGGACTGGGGAGGGCGTGGGGAGGATTTTTTCTTTTCTGCATCTTCACAGGTTCAGCTGGAGGCAGCTGATGGGCCTGGGTCCAGACCTTACTGTTTGAGCTATTCTGATCCGCACAGCTGTAGACAGGGTTCCCTCACTGCTAGTCAGCCTCCTTTGGAAAGTGGACAAGTCATTGCCTCTGGCTCTTTGAAGAAGTGAGCGAAGACATGCCACGTTTCCACCGAGTCTTTCTCCCCTGCGCAGACAGCAGCCGGCTTCTTTTTTAAAAAATCCTTTATATCTGTTGGATACAATAGTGCGCTTTTGGTGCACATTTTTTAGCAATAGTTGTGAATTAATGTCAAAAAAAAAAAAGGAAGAAACCTCATTTACCAGCCCTCAGTTGTGTTTGCATGAGGGGCCCTAGGGCTAAAGGAATGAGTTTTGCTGGGCCATTTCGCCCCAGGTACGGAGCCTCAGGGTGGCTGTGCTCCCTTTCTGTCATAGATCTGAGCCCCAGCATGGTTGTACTTTTTTTCCTTCCAGTTAAACCAGTAATCATGTCCAGAAAATTGAACAGTCTGCAATGCCAAAAGGGTAAAAATCTGTATTTCACAGTTGTACAGAATAAAGGCTTTAGTTAAAATATTTTGAAGTTTATTTTTTTCACTTGTCATTTTCCTTCATAGCAAATTACAGAGAAATTAAGAAACCTCTGGTTTCGTGTTTACCCTGGAAATTATTAGCACTGATATTTATTTTATCCTGCAATTTAGGGAGGGGAGTATGAAAGTGAGGAAGAACCAGAACCTTGGGTGAGGGTGACCTCAGGTCAAGGGAAGCTGCGTAACTTCCTGGATTCCGGAGGACCGGAGGACGGGACACCAGGCTCCAGCACTGGCTTTGGGCATGAGGCCTCCCTGCCTTGGAGGCTTATCAGCCACTCTGGTGGGCTTGACGAGGCTTGTTTTAAATGCAGTCACAGTGCTAGAAACTCAGTGTTTGCTGATTTGGGGCCCGCCCTCCATAAACTTGGTCTGTGTCCCCCAGAGCAGACAGTCCTTGTCCTGCGGGCCTAACAGAGCTCTCATTTCCTTGTGAGTGCAGACGCTACAAATCAAGCAGCAAAGGAGGGACTTTATCTGGACAGAGGCTAGAAGACCAGAGGCAGCTTTAATGGTCATCAGCAAGGAGTGTGGGAAGGTGAGGGACTAGCCAAGACAGGATTTCAGGTGACAAAGGGCTGTCCCTGGGTGGAGCCTTTCTCTTCCCGTAGGAACTGGGCAGAGCAGAAGACCCAACCTAGCCTTTGCCTCCCAAGGTACCTGGTGGTGGTGGGAGGAACAGCCCCCTCCCGCAATACTATAGGAAAGAAATAGTATAGGAAGCCAGGCCTTGCCCACTCTTGTCCAGGCCCCTCATTCCCCTTTGTGGTGGGGGCTGTGTGTAGACAGATCCAGTCAAGACTGGCTTTGGGAGTTTGCTCAGGTTGGTGATCTTAAATTTGTAACTTACTTATTTACCAGTGGAGCTGGCCGGATGCCTTGTATATTTAGAAAAGACTTGTATAAGTTTGGGAGCTGACAGGAGTCACCACTGGGGATACCAGGTCTGTAGGGTGCAGGCCCTGGGGAAGGAACATCGTGGTCCAAGCACAGGTGAGTCTGCTGAAGGGCCTGATTTCCAGTCCTTCTCAAGGGAACGTAGTCACGTTCACTGCGCCTCCAACTGTGACTGGCCTGTCAGCCTAAGCCAACTGTGCAGTGTAGCACATGGATGAGGGCACATGACAGAAGAGAGAGTAATTGGGGATTCAGGGGTCCCCAGAGCATGGGGGTGCCTTCTAGTATAGACAGGGCTGGCTGAGTTGTGCAGGATGAATCAAAGCAATCAGACATCCCACACCAACCTCTTCCTCACCTCATCATCACACCTGATCGTGTCTGGACCCTGCTGCCTCCTGGGAAGCCACAGTGGCCAAGCAAGAGCAGGCACTGGACCTAAGGGTACATGGCCAAAAGATGCCCTTCCCCGTGGCCCACACCCCTACACAAGCAGCAAAGCAGCCTTCCCTACCCTAGCTCCTGCCAGACAATCTGGGGTGCTACTCCCAGCCCCCTACAAGTGCCCAATTCCCCAAAGCCAGGACCATCATGCAGAATTAATGCTGGGAGGTCATCTCTTGGAGACCAGTAAGGTCTTGAGTGGACACGAAAGCCCCTGGCCAGCAGAAGTCCCTGCATGTCACTCGGAACCGCAGCCTAGGAAGCTAAACACACTGGGCTGGGCCCCATAGTGTGGCCTGAGTAGTCTCCCCACATATGGGCCTCATGAAGTGCCATCAGGGGCCTCGTCACAGCCCAGGGTGTTATTCAGGGGTAGAGAGCTGGGCCTGGCTGGCTGCACCCTCAGCCTCAGCCTCTGCCCCCAAATCTGAACACTCTGTGCTTGCCGGCTCCTCTTCAGCCTGAGCTTCAAGCAGCTCAGCAGACAGCCCATCTTCCGGTGAGGCTGCAGAGGTGAGGCTGTCGGGAAGGGTCAGCTGAGGTAGGTGGTCCAGCTGGGCCTGGGCACCTGGGCTGTCCGGGAAGGAGACCTCAAACTCCGATCCAGACCACGTGGCCTCACCTGAAACACAGGGCGGGGCTGAGGAGGCCTGCAGAACCCAGGGCCAGTGTGGCCCAGGACATTAACACCATTGACCCCCAAATCCCACCCCAGGTGCTGATGGGAGATGGGAAACCTAGTGTACAATGCCTTGCTGTGGCTGGATTCCTTCCGAAGGCCAGCCTCTAACCTAGCTGAGAAACTGGGGGCAGCCTTACGGACAACCCTTCCCAGCTGGCTTCAGAAGGTGCCAGCCACTCACCGCCACGCTCATGAGAACTGCTGCTGGAGCAGATGTCCTCCAGCCCTGAGGTGGAGAGAGCTGTGGAGCTCAGCTCTGTGGAAGAGGGCAGGCTGGGCCAGACGCTGGCATTGCTGCTGTCCAGGAGGGAGATGCCTGACACATCCAGGAAGCCTAGGGAAAGGGGCACAGTCCTTTGACAGCACAAAACCCTGCCCGCTAAAGGCCAGTACCCTGGGCTCACTCTGGCCCAGCCTAAGACTAATCTCGGCCAGCAGTGATGCCCCCCTACCCCCACCCCCACCCCAAAGAGGTTCTCCACTTCCTGTTTCTGATGAAAGAAAGGGGCCTGGCATTGGGCATCATGGGACTAGCACAGTGGCAGAAGGCCCAAGCCCTGCTCTGTCCCCAGTTTGCTATGTGACCTTGAGCAGGCCACCTCTCTTCTCTGGACTGCAGTCTTTCCATCCACATACTGGACCAAGTCACCTGCAACCGCCTTGGTGTATATGAGACAAGAGAGTTGGCAGGTCTGAGGACGGTTTTGGCACTGCCACCAAAGCCCAGCCCTGAGGCTAGGGCTCCCTTCTCCCAGGATGCCAGGTTCCTCAGCCTCCCCCCTGGGGCCTGCTCACTACCTGGGTCCATGACTCGCTGCACTGGAGGCGGAGGCTGAAGAGAAGTCTCCATGGAATGTGGAAGTCCCTCAAGGCCAGGCACACCGTGGCTGGGATTTACAGGCTCAGGAAGCTGTCCCTCCATGGAGCAGCCAGGCGCCTGCAGCAAGGCCTAGGGGAGCCAGGGAAGAAAAGGGAACAGGGAGAGGGCAGTCAGGACAGCATCCTGACCTCAACCTAACCCCCAGCCCATGCCTGCCCCAGAAGCTCTGCCTGTAGGAGCAAACAGCCTTGCGATCTGCCCCTTCCTCTACAGGTGATGTGAAGTCATGCGGAGGGGCGTGGCTGGCCCCTCTGCAGTGCTGACACGGACGGGGAGCACTCTTCCTACTCTGCTGATCCCAGGTGTTCACCTGGCCAGGCCCCATCAATGACCCACAAGAAGAGAAGGCCTTCCTTGAATTCCAGTGTGCCTGGAGAGCAGTCCTCACGTGCCCTGGGTACAGACCCAGGTGCCAGCCCCGTGCCCAAAGGCACTCAGGCGACCTGCTCAGCAGCCAGACCGGCGCTCCCATGCAGACTTGGCCAGACAACTTGCCCAGGGTTCTAGATGCCCAGCTCCTGGCCCGACTTCACCACAATGGCTCAGGCACTGAACAAGGCTCTACCCACCTCTGAGCCTCAGTTTCCCACTCATGAAATGAAAGTGACAACCAATGCCTCACCGCTACCTTCACTTCCAGACCAAAGTGGCAAGAGAACCCAAGTGGGCTTCACTGTCCCAGAATGGGCCCATCTGCCCCTACTGGATCCCGGAAGCAGATGGGCCTCCTATGGGCTCCAGAGTCCTCTCTCCCCAGCTGGCAGGCCCCTCTGCCCACATGAAGCTCCCCTCTTCCCCCGGCTGGCAGGTGCTCCCCACGTACCTCCATATAGTCACTCTGCCTAGAACCCATCTGTGGGCCAGGAAGGGCAGGAGAGTCCTGAGGGGTAGGTCCAATTGGTGGGGTAACAGATGGCAGAGTATCAGGTGGTGGGGCCCCTGGTGGTGGGGTACCAGGTGACGGGGCACCAGTTGACAGGGCACCAGGTGGCTTCTTGTGGTGGCTGGGGGATTGGGTTGGGATCCGGTGCAGATACCCGTAGCCGATACCACACCCGAGACTGCCAAAGGCCAGAAACATTCAATCCAGAAGCTGTCCCACATAGTCCCACAGCTCTTCCTACCTCTGCCACCCCCACCCACTAAGGGCAGTGAGGGGGCTGAAAGGGTGCCTCCTAGACCAATGATCAGCTTCAGGACCCCTGGGACCAGGACCAGCCCTCCACCCCCACCATGGGACTCTGGAGGTCCATGCCCAACTGGCCAGGCCTACCCAGGGTCCCACCAGGTCCCCACCCTACAGCCCTCCACGCCCAGGAAGTACCTGCCCTCTCCACCCCAGGCTGCGTTGGGAGTTACAGTCACCTCCCGGCAGGAGTCAGACTCGGAGTTATACACCATCAGCTTCAAGGGCTTCCCCTCGTGGGACTCAATGAGTGAGAAGAAGTCCTCGGACTATGACAAACACACAGCGCCTGAGCCCTGCTCCCAGCACTGGAATCGGGTACTTCTCATAAGCAGCACTCCTTGCCCCATGCCCCATCGGGGACCTGGGGAGGGGCGGGCCGCGGGCTCCTCACCTCCTGGAGGATCTGGTCTGAGCCAACCACGTAGTCTGTGTAGGGGCGCAGGCCGGCGAGGGAGGCAGGCGAAGAGGGCTCCACATCCTGGGGAAAGAGCCTCAAACTATCGGCCTTGCTAATGAAGGTAGGGGAGAAGACAGCGGGGCTGCCTCTCCAGGTAGTAGTAAGTGGGACGCTTGTCTTTCTTCCCCAGTTCCACAGCCTGCCCAGCAGAGGGCAGCACCGTGGTATGGCTCCCCGCGATGAGACCTGGAATCTGACCTGGGCTCAACTCTTGACTCCACTAACTGCTAGCTGGGTGACTGCGGACAACTACTTAACTCCCAGCCTCGGTTCCCCCACAATTAAAAGTAGGCTATGTAATGCTTCTTCATAGGGTTGCTGAGAATATTTTAAAAATAGTATACGTAAAGAATGAAAACCACACCCTGGCCCATAATAAGTGCCCAATTGCATTGCTGCTGCTGCTGCTGCTGCAGGCTTGTGGCCGAAGATCCCTGGGTAGGGGCAGGAGGCGAGGGCGCTGAGAGGAACTGGGCACGAAGATTCCTTTCTCCCTTGGAAAACTCCACCCTCCCGATCTCCCAGAGAGATGCAAAAGGGTTTGCACCATCACCCCCACTGCACTCATGGACAAACTGAGGCAGGCTGAAAAGGGTGAGAAGGCTTCTCCAAGAAGCCAGCGAGCAACAGAAACCAAATCAGCCGGTTTCCAGCTCAGGGCACCCTCCTTCCATCAAGCTGCAGGACCCAGCATTCTTAAGAACTTGGGTACCATTAGGAGACGTACATGTCACATGTGCATGTGTGTCTGTGAACAGACACACGGCAACATCTGTGACAATGAAACTCAGTCACTGAGATTCATTAAAGTTCAGATCCCACACACCACCCCAGTGCCCAAAGGTGCTCTCAGGGGACCTGCCAGGAAAAAACATGATACTGGCATCTTATAGAATGTACCAGAAAACACGCACGCGCGTGTGCATGTGCTCTCTCTCTCGTCCTCTCTCTCTCCTAAAAGCAGCAGCAGCACACTGGCAGTACAACCACCTTGCCAGGAGATGGTATCCCTACCTTTCAAACTAAGAAACCGTGGCATAGAGGATAACAAAGAGCCCAAAGTCACGTGGCTAACAAGAGGCAGGGCACACTGTGCAGGCAATGATGTGCTGCCCTCTCTAGGACACTGGAACGAGTGAGGCCAGATCCTGCCCTCAGGGGGTCCTAGGACAGACCCACTGGCTATTGGCCTATCTCAGCTGCGCCCACACTCCATCCCCTACCCCCGGTTACCCCTATACACACACACACGCACACACACACACACACACACACACACACACACACCCACAATGGCCCCACTGCCTTCCCCTACATGCCCTGCCCACACAGCCCCATGCCCCACTCAGCACCCCACCTTCGTCGTGCCCAGCCCCACCCCACTCACCAGCACATGCCACACGTGTTCGCTGGCCCTGCGGAAGCTGCAGAAGCGCACACTGGCGCCCAGCAGGCCCTGGCCGCCCCACATGTTGCTGGGTACCACCTCCACCTCGCGCACCTTCATGGTCTTCATGTTGAACACCTCCAGCTTCACAGGCTTCTCCACGTTGGCCTTCAGCAGGGCCTTCAGTGTGTCATTCTCCTTGTTCTGCAAGGGCAGGAGGCTGACTCCAAAGCCCCCCCCAAACCCCAGCCCAGACCCACCCGCACACACACCCACACCCACACACACACACCCACAATGGCCCCACTGCCTTCCCCTACATGCCCTGCCCACACAGCCCCATGCCCCACTCAGCACCCCACCTTCGTCGTGCCCAGCCCCACCCCACTCACCAGCACATGCCACACGTGTTCGCTGGCCCTGCGGAAGCTGCAGAAGCGCACACTGGCGCCCAGCAGGCCCTGGCCGCCCCACATGTTGCTGGGTACCACCTCCACCTCGCGCACCTTCATGGTCTTCATGTTGAACACCTCCAGCTTCACGGGCTTCTCCACATTGGCCTTCAGCAGGGCCTTCAGTGTGTCATTCTCCTTGTTCTGCAAGGGCAGGAGGCTGACTCCAAAGCCCCCCCCAAACCCCAGCCGGGCCCCTCAGACAATTCTGGGTCTGAGATGGGGCAAGGGCTTGGTGGCCAGCTGCCCTGGCAGGGCCTGGTGCGGGATGAGCTGGGGCAGTGGCTGGGCCCAGATGCATAGGCCAGGCCTAGGTCTGCAGCTACGGTGCCCCCCACCACCCCCAAGCAATGCCAAACCTGCCTCCCTCGGCCCAGAAAACATGACAAAGTAAGAAAAGAGCCTCCTGGCTCCAGAGCACTGCAGTGCTACTCGCCCTGAGCTGCCTCTTGTCCAGAGGCCTCACATTTCTCATGCCCCAAGGGGCAGCTCCTTAAGCCTTGTGGCCACCTCCAAGAGTCCATTTGCCTCCAGCCTGCCCTGGAGAGCTCAGGAGCTGAGCCCTGGGCCGGCCCCCAGTCAGGCTAAGTACAGCCCTGGGAGAAGGAAAGATGGGGCTGGGCCTCCCTGCAGAAAAAAAGGGACAGAAGGAAACACACGGACACACAGACAGACAGATAGACACACACACACGCACGCACAGCAAAGCAGAGGCGGGATGTGGGAGCTCACCAGCCTCGAGTGCCCGATGGTGATGATGAAGTCAAAGTAGGGCTCCAGGCCCGCCTGCTGGGCTGGGGAGTTCTCCTGCACCTGCCGACAGCAAAGGCCAGTCACTGTGCCAGTTCCCGTGACCTCTAAGAAGTCATTGGCCCTCAAGTTCAGAGGCCATCACCACTCCTGTGTCCCGACAAGGATGCATGAACCGTTCTGGATAGGCCACATGTGGACATTGTCAAAGTCCATCCTCTCTGTCTACCTTCCTGGACACAAATTTTCCTCTTTCGGAAAATGGTTCTTTCCTGATCATGAACCACAGGTCATGCTTCCAGAAGTCCCTCACAGAAGAGCCCAGGGCTGCCCTGGGGACTACCAGGAGGCCACATGAAGACAGGGTGGGCAGGCCTATGGGGAAAACCAGGAGAGTTTACTGGAATGGCTTAGATGTGGACAGGATGGGAGGGCCTGACGTATGATAGATGGAACCAAGGCTGCGTCCAGAAAGAGGCAGCAGGGAAGGAGGCCTGTGGCCAGATCCCAGTGAGCCCCAGACCCTGTGGCAATAGACTGAAGGTCAGTCCAGCTGCTGAGGAACCGTGGCTGGGGAGAGCAGACCCCACAGGCAGGAAGGAGCCTGAGCTAGGGAGCCCCGTGAGCAGCGACGAATCTCTGCCTTGCAATCAAGCCTCTACTGCCAGGCAGGACCTCTCCTCCAGGAGCCATTCTGAGCCCAAGGATGCTCTCTGCTCTGCCCTGAACTTAGGAACTCCCTGCTGTCTCCAAAAGCACAACCACCAGGGCATGCAGCCATGGTAGAAATCCATCTCAAAGGCCCTATTTATAGAGCCTTGCTCAAACAATGCTGCCTTTATCCCCAGGCCCCAATTCTGAAGGTGGGCCCCACACCCTCAGGCCTTTGGCTCAGAGCAATAGACGCTCTGCAGATCAGGCATGAGCCAGGCCCCAGCCCAGAGGGCACAGAGGTTCTAGACACTTCTACCAGGAGAAGGCCCTGTGGCTTCTGCCATCCACCAGCCCCTCCAGTCCTGGATTCTCCAAGCTGAAGGGGTGCTCACTGCTGAGCTTTCAGATCAAGGCCCATTTGCCCCTGAAATTAATTAAGACTCTCCTGGCAGCATCACCAATTGAGTCTCTGCTTGCCACCTCTAGGAGCTGCCATGGCTTCCTAAGAGAGCACACCCAGAAGCCACTGGAACCCCAGTTAGCCCAGCTCAGAGGACAACTCAATCTGCTCAGAGGCCCGGCTACCACCTGACCCCTTCAGGGGAAAGCTGGGACAAAGTGGCCTTGGAAAACCAAAGGGCAATTAATGGAGAACAGCTTGGGGAGAAGTACTCCCCGAGTGGCTCGGGGCTACTCCCACGCCTCTCCATCTCCCTCTAGAACAGCCCTGCTCCTGAGGCCATGCCCACCCAGGGCCTCTGCCCACTCTCTCCTGTGGCCCTGTCCTCCATCTCGCAGGTACTCACTGCTCTTGCCCAAGGCCTTGTCATCACCTGCTGTGACTCCAGAGGGGAAATAATCTCTGCTGCCCACAACACCCCCGACTGTACCCCCACTCCTGCAACAAGGGCCCTCTCTCCAGCTCTGCCTTGGGCATTCTCATCACACCTGGCCCTGTAGCCCCACCACCCATAACTGTCCCCCCTGTCTTCCCCATCGGACCGCATGTGATGAACCATGACAGCAGCAGACAGTCACTGAGGGTTGGCTGGGTGCCAGGGGACTGCACCACCTGCTTTAGATCATTTAACCCTTTCACTAACCTCAACTTACAGAGGAGGAAGAGACTCAGTGATTCAGTAACCTGCTCCTAACCACTGCCCTGGAACAGCCACTTCTGGTGAATCCTCCACTGCCTCCAAGCTCGCTGAAGGCGGGGACTTCTCCAGTGCGCCTGGCAGGCAGTGGGAATGCCAATATTTACAGAAGGCAGCACACCTGTTCTTCAGTTTTTAAAAATGTAAATAGGTTATGTCACACCTCCACTCAAAACTCCCCAATGGCTCCACATCTCAGAAGAAAACCCCAAATCTTCAGGACAACATGCAAGGTCCAGCGCAGCCTGATCTCATCCTTGACCGCTCTCCTTGCCTAGACCACACCATCCCAGCACACCAGCCTCCTCCACCTCCGGACCTCCTTCTGTCCAGAAGGCTCCTCCCCTGAGCATCTGTATTCTCCACTCCCTACTTCCTTCAGAAGTGTCTGTTCACACATTACTTGGTCAGAGGCCTTTCTGGACCCCTCTATCCAAAACAGTACCCACGCCTCATTCCGTAACCCCTTACCCTGCTTTATTTTTCTCCCTAGCACTCCTCACCACCTACCATATATTTCTATTTCTTGTCTGGCTCCCTTCTCTCCCTGCTGGCATCCAAACATAAGCTCCACGAGAACAGGGATGATGTCTGTTCTGTTCACTGCTTTATCTGTTCACTGCCACAAAGCAGGTAGCTCAAAACTATCTGTTTTTGTGAATGAAGACCTCCCATCTTTGGACCCCTCCACTCTGTCCCTCCCCAATAAGGCCCTTCCTGTCTTCACTCTCACCATCACCCCATCCCTCCCTTTTACCAATATCCTCAATTCCTTTGCCTACCATCAAATCTGTTGGAAGATCCTCCTGCTGGATGCATTCCACTGTCCCACCCTTTCTGAGGTGCCTCACCATGATGTCCGCTAGAGAAAGCTCATCACCGAGCACAAATCCTGTCAACTCTGGGTCCTGGCTTTTATTTTAGAAAACCCCTTCTTTAACGCCCCCCACCTCCACCCCGTGACTGATAACAGGGCCTGCCAATCACGATACAGACTACACAATAGCCAGGCACCAAAACTGACAAGTTTGCACCCTTCTCTGCAGCCATCCACGCTGTACAAGGGGAAAGGGGTTATTTCCCGCTGCGCTCCTGCCAGAGACCCTCCGGTGCCTGTCACCTCGGTTACGGCCCCTCTACGCAGCACAGTTCCTGACCCCAAATCTCCATCTGGCTGAGGGCCCCTCTCCTCGCCTTCGGACTCGAGGAACCCCACTCCGTCTCCACGTTCCCCAGAGTGCTCACCCAGATCTCCTTATAGCGACACGTCAACGGCGACCTTACAGCGCCTCTCCGCGATGTTTCACCCGCGGACCCTCCCACTGCTGCAAATGCTCTCCCCGTGCCTTCTGCGGCTTTCTCCCACTCCCCCTTTCCCTGGCTGGTTCTAACTGGTCCTCGGGCCCCGCAAGCCTTTCCGACCCCACGACGGGCGGGATGCGCCCCCCGCAGCTGGCGTCCACTTGGTTACCCCGATCCCCTGGACCCAAGAGCGAAGACCGCCGGGGCCTGGGAGTTACCGGCTCTCTCCGCATGCCCAGCACAAAGCGCGGCACACAGCAGGCGATCATAAATGTGACCTAAGTGCCCAAATGCGTCTCGACCGGACCTGGTGCAATCCTCACCCGGGAAAAGTGCCATTCCGGGGCGGCCCGACCCGGCCAGGAAACGCTCCCGTTTCCTGCACAGCTGGCATTGGGATGGGTGCCGGGCCAACCGCGGCCCCAGACAGGCCAGGGGCCAGGAGTGCCGCGGGGCGGCCTCTCGCGGGCGGCTCCCACCAGGAAAGGGAGCAACACCCTCCACCGGGGCGGTCGCGCCA